CCTAAACAAACTCCCCAAATTTCGCATGTGAGTGAGGGGACTTTACTTGAACGTCTTATGTTCTCATGAGGTCGTATTTCTAGGGAAATAGAGTATTGCAAGGTCTGCTTGTTGTTAAACTAAAACGGTAGGAATTCTAAATTTTTTCCCTTTAAATTGTGGTTCAATTTTATAAAAAGAAGTACCTGAGCTCATCTTATTTAGGGCTCCGGTGCGCTCCGGCTAAAATTGTAATTTATCTTAGAAATTGAGAAGTACCGGAGCCAGGCTCCCGGGGGGGGGGCATTTTAAGCACTGGCTTATTTTTTTTTTTTTTATTATTATTATTTCATGAAGCTTTACACGTTAAGATTCTTACCACCTAGTTAGATTTTACTAACATTTATGTTTAGTTCTAAATGGTGCTCTATTAACAAAAAAGGGTAATTTATTGTAAGTATTTATTAGTTCTGTGCATTCCAACATTTTTCCTTTCTTCATGTGTCGGCATTTGTAGGGAGTTATTTTGTGATTCATGTATTTTTTAGTTTTATAAACACATTTTAATTGTTTGTTATTTTTCTAATGTAACTGTTGACATGCATATTAATTATTTATTATTTTCATTTACTATGATACTAAAATGACTTCATCTTCTTATAACTAAAATTCAACCATACAGTTATGTTTACTTCAGTAAATTTCTGCGATATATGCTTGCCATCTGCTTAATACAGTCCTAATTTTCATTAGCCCACTGAATGATTGAAACCATGTACAATGTCTTTGTGAAGTCATGATTTCTAAGCAGGTAGCCTTTGAGTGCTTTGGAAAAGTAAAGTTATGTCAAAAGTTTGGAAAGACTGCATATGTTATATTTCTAAACATTGACTGAAGAAATATTTTTTTTAATGTTATTCTGGCTTGTATAAATCAAATTGAACAATTTTCGGAATTCTTTGCATTGCAGACATTTTAATGCAAATACAGTCAAAAGTCTTTAATCTGGATGCCCATAATCCGGACCTCAACTCTACAAACTTTCTGTGCATGCGTCAATGCATAATGCATTCATGCATGTGCATACCTTTACGCATGCGCATATGCGTTTACACATGTGCATAATACGTTTACGCATGCACGTCTAATGAATAATGGACGGTATAAGCTAAGCTAAAATTATCTAATTATCTATTTCAGTTAATGTTGCAGATTGCGTTTTTCCTTAATTTTCAAATTGGATCTGGCTTATTATTTTTTGCAGACTGTTAGAGCAATTTTATAAAAGTAAGCTTGAACTTTCAATTATTTTATTGAGCTTATAATTTCTTACTAAATGTAGTATTTGTCTCGATGTACTCCGTCTTTGATATGATTTAAATCAAATTCCTTGCATTATAAATATCACAAATACACATCACATAGTTTTCTGGTTGCAATTTTCTAATTTCGACTATTCGTTATGTATGCTTTACGCATGCGCATGTTGAAAGAAATGTTTAGTAAAGTAAACAAATAAATATTAAGCTTTTTTTTTTTTTTTTGTAAATTGTGATGCCCTTTAGATCATAATTGCTCTTTATTTTATAAATTACAGTTTAATATTTTTAATTGTATAATTTTTGCATGCCATCTTACCAGATTTAAATTGATGATTTAAATTGATCCAGAAAAACTGATAATCTGGAATCGCCGAAGTCTCGACGAGTCCGGATTAAAGACTTTTTACTGTATATAATGTTTTAAATAGTTACCAAAGAGAAGTATATCATAAATTAAAAATTCTTGTATCTGAATGGGTATAATCAACTTACATTGCTGACATATATAGAAATGCTTAAAAATTATAAAAATTTGTTTCATCTTAAATTTTAGATACCACTTTACTTACTTAAAATATGGATTAGATGATTTTTCCACATATTTGTCTTGCATTTCCTGAAGATGCTTACTGCTCATGAAAGTGCCAGTATGGTTTCAAACTGCTGTTTTCTTCTCAGTAAGGGTTTTTTTAGTTAAATATTACAATCAGAGATAAGTGGAAAATACAGCATTAAATTATGGTTGATATCTAGTGTCAAAAAGCTTTTACTGCTGAAATATATACTAGGAAACTATGACAGTTGTTTTATTGATTATATACTTTTTAAAGAGTTATTGAACTATTAGTTATTGTTGGAATCACAAGAAAACAAAACAAATATATATACTATATATATATATTGAATTTCAGTCATCACATGAGAGAAGCCTAGCTGTGTGATTCTAGGCTTTCAGGATACAATATTAGTTTTCCTTTGTTCCTCAAAAGAATGTGCGAAAAATCTCTTATGCACTGTGATGTTATAGTGCCACCTAGGCAAGACAGTGGTTAGTGATGTTGACTGCTGTGCCAAAGGGCTTGGGCTTGAATCCCAAAGAGGGCATGGATGTTTATAAGCATATAGTATTTGTCCAGCTAGGGAGCACTCAATATACGTGATGAGCCAAAATCTTCTTGAGTGGCTGCCTCGGACCATTTCCTGGGCTGTTCTCCTTCAGAATTCCATCTGATGCAGAAACTTAGCAGTTAGTAAGACCCAGTAATACCAAATATCCCTATCTGAATGCACAGGTGCTGGCCTTGATTTAAGTTGTATCTGTGATGTTATAGTTTTGGAAGCTGATCATCTAAAACAGGTTTGTTTGAGCATTTGAATATGGCAAAGCACATGACTATCTGTATAAGGAAAAGTATGCCTTATAAAGGTATATTTAAATGAAATGGGCTCATATTTACTTTACACATGGTGAAACTCATAAAAATCAACCATGCAGCCAGCACATTCACCTGGATCCAAATCTAGGATGATCTATCAATATTCAGCAATCTCCTCTTGGCCATTGGTGGGGCCCACCCCAAATTGGAGGTATTTACTTATACTGTTTCAAACAAAACTAATTATGGAATAGGCATTATTAAAATACTAGCGACAGTCTAATTATGAAATACAAAAATAAGAAGATAGCCAGTTTGCCTCTTTTACAATTTAACTGATCTAATAATAATCGGATAATAATGAAGCTTTTTAGATCTCATGGATATAACTCGTTCTCTCAATGTCAATAAACTTTTAGCTGAAATGTTTTTCCATAAAATGTAAGAGCTTTGGAGAAGTGAGCTGATAATAAAGTATGAACACCAGTATATTTACAGAGAAAAATATAAACTAAGAAAAATGAAATGATATTTATGTATCATACCGTTGACTGTGAAAGTTGGGTAACATTCAACCAGGAAAGTTGGAGGAGATGCACTTAAAGTCATACCAAGCATTCCTGCAAGAATTTCGATTTGCTCTTCTATTTAGAACTCTAACAATAAAACATTCTTCAGTCTCTATGCACTGTCTACCAAACAGCCACTGCTTTCAAAGTTTTTACTCTACTTTGTATTTTCACTTCATAAAAAGGTTTTCATCAATTTCTACTATTTCATGATATCAATTTTTAAAGAAATTACTGAGTTTAATGAAAGCTTGGTTAGAATTTTCTGAGTACAAACTTCCTGCAGGTAATTGTGCCAATCTGTTACTGTTTTCTTGGCCATAAGCAGCTGTTTTTTTCAACAAATGTGCAATAGGCATTAATTCTTCTGACCAGCTGTAAGTGAGCCAGAGTGCCAGTCACGAATATGACTCTACAGGCCTAGAATTATTATTATTATTATTATTATTATTTCAAATTTCAAGGAAAAAATATAACACTAACAGTTGATTTATATCCTCGTTCATAAAAGAAAGGTGGCTTATTGAGAATCTATCCACGTTAAATTAGATGAAAGCTCAGATGTTTTGAGGGTGTTGTGATGTCATGCTCATTCATAATTGGAGGTAATCATGCTTCTTGGCAAGTTTGATGGTATATGGAATAATACATAAGTACCAATGAAACTTCAGCAAATATTGATATGTAATATGGAAAGTGTAAATAGTGTGGCAAGACAGATACAGAATTCATATCATATCTATATCACATCTTTTATTTGTATGGCAGGACGTAGTAATGTGTATTGTAAATCTATTTATAATGAGTTAATTGTGTTAATTCTGATGTAATTAACTCTTTTATATTGTTTAACCTTAAAACCTGTTGCGTCTGTTCAATAATAATGTCTACTAAAATTTAAACTCTTAATTAAATCTTTCTGAAATTTAAATTGCCAGAAAGTTTACAATAACCTATTAAATGAAGTGTTTACTTCCTTCTTAAGTCCTTTGTTACATATTACTACTGGTCAGTAGCAATAAAGCTAATAAAAAATAGCTGCAAAAAATTAAGCAGTGACATATTTAAGAGGTGAAGTTCCATTCAGATATGAGAGATACTTTGTTGGCTATAAAAGGGCAGCTGATACTTCATTAAGTCTAGAAAACCAATAAACCATGTATAAACATGATGAGGAAAGCACTAAGCCAGGGCAGTTAGGCATCTAACTGATGCCAGGATATATGAGCATATAGAAGATTCCAGTTACTTTTAAGTTATGGGTTTAATTAAAATAATATTTGATTTCGTTCTTTTACTTTCAGTTTTAAGAAAAACAGTCAGAAAGATCAAATTTGGTCTGAAGAAGCATGAAACCAAATTTGAGATCACCCCCTCCACCTCTAAAAAAAAGAAAAGACATGGAAGCATATTGGGTATACAGTCTATATTAAACAGTGTAGTTAAATAAAGTTATTTTGGATGCATAAAGTGTCTTCATCACGTACAGGTAAATGTAATTTTATTTAAACAGGATAGGAAGTTTATTAACAGTTTGTAGAATACGTAAATTGCTATTGTCGGGGATGTAAGAAAAAAGGTAATTAAAAATAGAGGAATGTATATACAAGAGAAAAGACATGTATTTACATGCACACACATATGTGCGTACCCCTTAAAAATCATGTTGTATGATTCGTGAATTTTATAACAGATATGCATGTAATTAGTTTTAGATTTTTTTTCATAAAATTTTAAATGGAAAATATTTTCAGAGGCCATGTGAAGGACTTTCAAAGCCTTTAGGTTTTGTTGTTGACTCGAGCAATCAGCAGAATCTTGCTGTAAGTATAATTAAATTATTTGATTGATTTTTTTTTCCTTATGAATAAAAGATTTTTGTTATTTTAACTTTTGTTTAACTTCGAATAAAAGTGAAAAGCAGTTTTTATGTGTTTATTGGCTCACTGTGAAGTCTGTAGTTATACAAACTATTCTATATCCTTCTCTAACTAATAAAGGTTTTTATGATAAATATCATTAATATTAGTATAAATACTAATCCATCTCATGGTGTCATTTTCATATCACAATATGTTTTTCATTTTCTTTGTCATTTATTGGACTTGCATATAATGTTGAGATTTTTAATCATTTACTTAATCTAAAACACATTTGTTTTCACATTTAAAAATTTTCGTTGCCTTATCTTAATGCTATTATGTAAACTTATTTCCCATAGAATATTCGCTGCTGTCATTCTGATTCTTTTGCCTACGTACGGGTTCTTAATGGATTGAATGCACACAGAACCAATGATAGCTTGAAAAAAAATTTTTATTCCCATAAACACTTTACAGTTCTAGAATTCTCTACAAAAGTACTTGTACAGCTCTTCTCAATATCAGCCAGTAGTTACATTTCAAACCACTAAGAACGTTAAACACAATGCCAGGGCCGGCGGAAGCGGGCCCGCAAAGCCTTCTTTGCAGGCGGGCGCCGACCAGCGAACGACACAGAGCTTTTTTTTTAATGAAAAAGAAAGTGCACTTATCGGGGAAGAAGAAAAATATTCCTTGAATGCTTACACAGGACAGAGGGGAGTTCGCGCACCCTCCCAACACCTCCTACTGTTAGGAGGTGTTGCCCTTCCCCACCTTTCCTCTCCAGCTCATCCATCAATGCCTTGTCACCCATCCGTCAATCGTCAGGGATAGTATCATACAAAGAAGTTTGAGTTGGGAATTAATGCTGTGAGCAAGTTTAAATCTAGATAATACCCTCAGACGTTGTTCATTACTCACAATGATCCTTCTGCACATCTAGTACCAGATAACGGTAATTTTCCATGTGTCTAGAAAGCCACGTGTTATGTATCACCTACACATTCCATTTTCGTATTTACTGAGTATCACTGAGTGGTTGGCGAAAATTTTCGATGCACAATAACCTTACTACCATTGGAAAAGAAAAGTCCATTTGATGAAGTACGTTCTTATTTTATTTTACTTAATATAATTTCTATTTATCCTTATTTTATCATTTTTATTATATTTTTATTTAAAATGTATACAGTGAACTAAAAATCATGTTGTATGATTCGTGAATTTTATAACAGATATGCATGTAATTAGTTTTAGATTTTTTTTCATAAAATTTTAAATGGAAAATATTTTCAGAGGCCATGTGAAGGACTTTCAAAGCCTTTAGGTTTTGTTGTTGACTCGAGCAATCAGTTTGACTCGAGCAATCTTTTTTTTCTTGAAAATTTCTGTGAGGGTGGGAAGGGGGGAACGGATAGCCCTTTCTATCAGGGAAAATTTGCCGTTTTGCCACATGTAAGAATGAACACAGGCACCAACTTTTCATATTTTTCACGGGAGTTGGAAGGGGGGCAAGATTTGCATGGACGAAAACGCAAAAGTCTATAGAGAAGTGCTTCTCAACCTTTTTTGGTCCGTTGACCGGTAAAATTTACAAAAAAATTTCGTGGACCAGTGTGTTTTTTCCCTCTCCCCCCAAAAAAATTTACAAATTATTCAAGAATTACTACATAAGTTAATTGTAATATTCTTATTACCATTTGCCTACAGTCATATTTAAATATTTCCTTCTTACTCATCCTGGTTATTGATTTTTAATCTACCTATAGTTAAAGAAATAGTAGTTATAGCACAGTATTAAATTCCATGGTTATTAAAAACTTACGCTGATGTATAGTTTTCAGTTGTCCAAGCATGCAGAAGAATGTAAGCAAGATAAAAAGCGAAACCTAACCTAATACGCCTTAAACACTACGATAGATATTCATCGTTCAAGTAATCAGCGATACTCAAGGTAAACAGGAGCACACTAACTGGTGTACTAAGTGTACGGCACGGCAATTTATAAAAGGCGATTAGGTACCTAGTTGCCGGGTTGCTATATTTTTCATCACCGATCATATTATTTTATAAACTAGTAAACTATTTTTATTGTAATGTTGCGTGCGTACGGGTTCGTTACGAAATGAATGCACAAGTCCGATAAAAAATGAAGAAATTTATTATTATCACAACAAATATGATTAAATGTCCTCAAATAATTGTGCAGGATCACAATATATCACAGTAGTATCTTCTAACTACTCAAACGTTCAAGAGAACTTAATTCAAAACAGCTAAAGAAAGCTAATCCGCGAATTCACTACAATCAACAAGAGCAGTTTTCTAAACAAACTCTTTAAAAATTAACAAACTAACTCTCGAATTGAGAGGTTTTCCTCCTATTTATATGATTTTAAAATCGGGCACGAGAATTTTCTAGTACTTTCTCGAAATCAAAAATAGATATTTATTAATTGTTACATGCACGTGTTCTTGTATTTTCAATTTTCCGACTTAGCTTTCTTTTAATATTCGTCACGCGCTGCACTGCGCGGGAAATAAAACCATTTAATTTACAATTCAACTAACATTAGCTATTTAAATACCAAATCCGTAACACTGCCCCCTTCCCAAGGACTTCCCGTCCCGGGCAGTACAATCCCTGGGCAGAGCCAAACTTACAACTGTAGCATAAATACAATAAACAACATAAACACTAAATGCAATAACTAACTTAAACAAATCAAAGGCTAAGTACAAGTCAAATCAAATACTAAATACAAGTCAAATCAAATACAAAATACAAAACAAATACTAAATACACATTTAGAAACAAAAAGGACCATGGTCTTACACTATTTAGAATTATTTACATTACGTACTATGGCCATAGTAATGAGCTAACCTGTCGTAACGAACGACTTTAGGTTTAGAGTTCTAGAATTCGAAGACTTACGGATCCGAACCACGACGTTATTCAGCCTGTTTAGGACTGTGTCGGACCATCCCAAGATGACTGTAATTTCGCACAGAGTCCCTTCCGTCGAGTCGGATTCCACAACCAAACCTTGTCTCCATCGTGGAATTGATGTTCCAGTAGCTCTTCGTGTCGTATCGGGTTCTTCATCTTCTCCGTCGCCAAGTTGACTCGCTCTCGTGCAAGAGTTGTGCATTACTTAAACCGGACCTGAAGATCTTAAATATATATTCCTCAGGCGATGAAGGAGCATCCGGAGTTCGACCAAACAAGAGATCACAAGGCAGATGAAGGTCACGACCGAAGAGCATCTGTGATGGGGAATAGTCGATAGTCTCATGGACATCACGCCAATAAAAACAGTGGTAATTTCTTGTCCCAGTCCTGTTGGTTTCTGGAAATCACTAATGAGAGGTTATTAAGGATGGTTCGATTGAACCTCTCTACCATGCCGTCTGACTGGGGATGTAAAGGCGTCGTTTGGGTTTTGTCAATACTGAGTAGTTTGCAGAGTTCTTTGATTACTGCCGACGTAAAATTCCTTCCCTTGATATCGGAACTGGACCCTTTAAGAGGCACTCCGAACCTAGGAGAAATCTATGATGCTCTCTTTGAAATATTCGAAGGTGAATGCTTTTCAAATGAAGTGCAACATGAAGCACGAAGTCTGTGCACCAAAATCAAGGATTATAAATTTATTTGTTCCTTGATAGTTTGGCACGATTTGCTTAACAGAATTAATCCTGTCAGCAAACAATTGCAAGAAAAGGGTCTGAGTGTTACACTAGCCTTAAAGGCAATAAGTAACTTAAAAACATTCATTGAAGAATATAGAAGTGATATCAATTACAAAAGTATTCTTGAGAAAGCCAAAGAACTTAGTGAAGAAGTGGATGGCGAGCTACAATTTAAAACTGTTGAAGAAGTCCGAAGAAGGAAAAAGAAATGTCACTTCGATTACGAACGTGCTGACGAATTTCCCCAATGTCCAGAAGAGAAGTTTAGGGCAAATGCCTTTTTTAGAATTTTGGATACTGCTTGGACATCATTAAAAGAAAGATTTGATTCAATGAAAATTCACTACGATAATTTTAGTTTCCTGGGTAATTTATCAGAAGTCGATAACGCAAATTTGAAAATAAAATGTGATAAATTAGAAAAATTGTTACAGTGTGGTGACAATAAAGATATTAACGCAAAAGAACTCTATAGGCCTGTCCACACGAGTACGCTCGAAACGTAGCTGACGAACGCGCTTTTACGTTACCAGCGTAAAAGCGTCCAAACGAGTACGCTTGCGAAGAGTGCATTTAACCAATAGAATTATTTTGCGCAAAAATCACGTGACACTGTAATATAGCGTCAACAGAGCTGTATCTTATTACTTCGCTGTTCTTCTGTATGTTTGGGGCAAGTTGTCCGAATCAGATGATTTTTTTTTTATAGCTGAAACTATACTATTATGTGCAATTATTAAGCAGAGGCAAAACCACAAAAAATGGCAAGAATGGGTCCGAAAGATTTATTTAGAGCCACCTGTTCAAAGAGTTTTTTTTTTTTTTTTTTTTTTTTTTTTTTTTTTTTTTTTTTTACTGCCTTGTTTGTGAAAGGAATATCTGGAATTATTAAATTCCTACTATTAGTTCACATTCTCCCTATATCTTGTTCAAATTTTCAGTACATTAAATGCTTTTTATTCATCCACTCAAGTTCAAATACAATTTTTTGAACTTGCAGTGAATGACACTTGATACAGCTTTTTCACATATTAAAATTTTTTAATTTTTAATAAAAAAAATTATGTTTGTATTTTTTATTTATTTATTTTTGTATTTTTAAACTTTTCTTGTGGACCTAAGTAGGAATTGACTTTTCTTCTTGGAGGGGTATTACTTGTTTTTTAATTCCTTCAGGATGAGTATCGACCAGTTTGACAGACTTGCAGATTCTATATCGTATGAAAATTAGGATTTATAAAATTGTTTGGAATACAGATATAAAG